CGAGCAATTTATTGTCCCAACGTCATTGGTGCGGTCATTCAATCAAGTTCCTGGCGTTTAAAACAAGCAACAAAGGCTAATAAAGCAGGATTTAATGAATTCATCAAATTTCGGTAGAACTCGTCAGCCGAATACTCTACATACACGGATATATATACTTTTGAAATTACTTTGGGAGATATAAGACTGATAAGCGAATAAACTACATTGAATTAGTCATGCAGAAAGACAAGTGTGTGTGAATGTTCTCCAGGTCATGTTCAGACTAAATTCCTAGACGTTTTTTCTAGTGAAAATGACTGATGGAACAATGGAAAGATCTATATTTAGAAAGTCTTCATAAACAGGACAGTACATGCATTTCAAGAGCCTTGTTCCAATCCAGTATAAAAGGAACTTAGTCAGAACACTGTTCAATAGAACAGGGGAAATTTGTTCTGACAGTACAATTGAGCATGAAATAAAATCTCTGAAGGATATTTTATCTAAGAATGGATATCCTGAGAAGTTCATTAATAAACACTCTAAAGAAATTAGAACTTGCAGAACTATCCAAATAGTTCCAAAGAAATCTGTCTACATCAGTTTGCCATTCAAACGAGATGATGTACAGGAAGTAGTCGAACGAAGACTCGATAAAGCCATCAAGAGAACTTATTATGCTGCAAAACTTGCTTTCCTTAGCACCACTAAGTGAGTGTTTCAACAATCTGCGAAAGGCAAGTCACCAATCCTCGACACTTCATACTGCGTATATCAATTTGAGTATGTTTGTGGCAGCAAATACATAGATCGTACAGAAAGGCGATTGTCTACTCGCATGATGGAGCATTTACCAAAATGGTTGAAAACAGCTGAATGCAAAGTGCCGAAAACCTCAATAACAACAAAACATCTTGTGGACTGTGGACATGAAATCGACGCTGTCAAGTCATTCACAGTTATTGTCAGCAGACAAAGAAACAAGAAGATGCTTGGAATTGCAGAGGAGGCTTGTGCAATTTGAGTTTATAAACCAGGTTTCTGTGTACAAAAGGAGATGGTCGTGACTCTGAATCTACCATGGTAATACGTTTTACTTATTATTCTCTACTTGTTATTACTATTAGTCTACCTCTTATTATTACTATTGTTATTATTATTACAATCATTATTATTATTCTTGATTCATTCTAAACTATGCTTCATCAGTAGGATTATCTTAACCCACTTCAACGCTATTATTATTGTTATTATTATTATAACTATTACTATTGACATTACTCTGTTTGCAGTTCTTTATATATTCTCTAATGACTAATTGTTTATCTAAGTGATGTAATTGAAGTGTAATGCAATTTATCTTAATTTTAATCTCTCATACTCCCTCTCTCCTTATCTAATTGAACATGACCTGGAAAACATTCATACACACCTGTCTTTCTGCATGACTAATTCAATGTAGTTGATTTGCTTATCAGTCTTATATCTCCCAATGTAATTTCAATAGTTGTATATATCCCCTTATGTAGGGTATTCAGTTAACGAGTTCTACTGAAATTTGATGAATTCATTTAATCCTGCTTTATTAACCCTTTTGTTCCTTGTTTTTAATTCGTATCGGGAAATAAAGTGTTTTCAATTCCTGTGGTTTAACTTCACCAATAAGCCAAAAGTAAAGATGTCTTACGCAAACGAATGCAATCACTTTCACAAAATGAAGTTTTATGATAAGAGAGGTGATATGTAGTCAGAAATTTTCGCAGACCCTAACCATAACATATCAAAGGATTCACAGTGAGAAACTCAGAGATGCCTTTGAAGTGAAGACAGAAGTGAAACAAGGCTGACTACCGTCACTCACAAAATTCCTGGTTTTAGTAGACTTGATCACTCAACAGCCTGTCGGTAAATTGAAGAAAGCAATATACTGAGACAATAATGAAACTCCAGAAGATTTGGAATTCGTGGATGATTTGTGTCCAATGTCACATAAATTAGAAAATTTAAGGACGCAAAACAACAAGAAGTTGGCAAAGGATGCAGGCTGAGAAGACAGGACTTTCAGGGGGTATGGAGAATTCAGAGGTGATGAAGATGCATAGCCAACATTAGGAAGTACCAGTTACTATCATCGGGGGATATTCGAAGAAGGTCACCACTTGTATTTATCTAGGAAGCATCATTTCAACTATAGGCGGTACAGATGAGCATATCAAAGACAAGGTCTGAATAGTAAGACAGACTTTCATTAATCTAAAGTCATTCTGTAAACTTACTCCACTCAGAATGCGGGACATGATCCAGATTTTGAATACTAATGTCAAATTATTACTTCTATATGGCTGAGAAACTTGGTACACCCGTCATTGAAAGCTGCAAACTCTTATCAACAGCTGTTTTCGCTTCATATTGCAGATCAAATGGTTGGCCAGAAAGGAAATAACAACGAACCAACTAGCAATCTATGAATGGCTCAGCAAATATTCCAAAGGAAATGGAGATAGATTGTATACATGCTGAGGAATCGTGGACAATACCCATCGGGATATTCAAAGGAAAAGAACAAGAAGTTCAGGAAAGATGAGGATCTTTTCAGCGATTTCATTCTCAAACGAAGCTGTACAATTGCATTTATATAGATTAGTTTACAAGGATACAATTATTATTTATTTAATCAATTCCACATAGTAACGAAGGAGATAATAATTTTCAACTTGATATGAAAGTTTGAAGGTACAAATATAGGTTGCAAGGGGCTTAGAGACAAGATTGCATAGCATTAGAAAACAGTTACAACGTTTGCAAAATTAATATTTGATAACTGGAGAAATAATTTTAAAGGCGAATAAAAGGTGATAATTATTTTCAACTTGATGTGAACTACAAGGGGTATAGAAACAAAAAATTACACAGGATTAGAATATAATTGTAAAATGGTTATTCTAAACCGATTACAATTGTCATCAGGAGGAGCATGGAAACAAACTTAGAATAACTGATTTTATAACTGAAAAAACGTCGGATGAATTGGATGAAGACAAAGAGAGAAAATTACACACACAGAGAGAACAAAACAAAAAACCTGAAGGCTGAGGGAACATATCAAACTAGGTCCATGGTAGTTGTAAAGGCTGGATTAGTTTCTTTTGAACACATAGCTCCGGCTTTTCAATGCATATGGCGAGAGCTTCCACAGTACAAAGAAGTCGGAAACACACTGACTGCCTTTGGTGGTGGATTTTTGTTTACTTTGTAAATGACTCTAAATGATGAGTCAGTTGAGATGTTGTGACAGGTATTGATTGACGAGGTGTTCAGTTATGGTGCTTCTGATTGAACCAGTGCCTCCTCTTTGCAGCCATGCTGGATGGTGTCATCTAACACGTTTTGATAAAACCTGCATAGAGAGATCTATGTTCCTAGCTCCGCAAGAGTAGGTGAACTGACATATGCACACTGAAGTGGTCATATGCGGAAGTCTATCCTTCCCGTTGCTCCGAAGTAGTGGGCGGCTAGGGAATATATCACTCTTAGAGTTGCTGCAGGAAAAGTCTTCTCCAGAGTATTGGAGATTCTCCTTTTAACGATATCTACTGCTAGGCCTCCTCAAATAAATAATATGAGAAAGTGTTCCGGAGAATCCTAAAAAATTTCGTATTCAACTTGTCTAGCTAAATGGTGATTCATATGGACACAGAAGCACTTTAACTATGATTCAAATTGCACACTCCTACAAAATTGACGTTGAAACCCAGTTCAAAGGTTTCTGTTACCAAATGTCTAAATTGAAACCAGTGGATGACGTAAACGAGGATTGGCTTAAATCTCGACATGTTGAGATTGCCAATTCTAAAATCTAAAGCTGCAACTATGAAATTTTCAACTCGTTTCTTAGACAGACTCTCATTGTTAACAATTTCAACCAGTTTCTTTTTTGAAACCCAGTACTATTGATTGATTGATTGATTTGAGTAGTTCTATGCCTTTCACATGAATCAGTGGGTATTTTGCTGGCCAAATCGAAGTGTTAGATAAACATTGGAAGGCCGTTTTATTCATTAACGGCCAGGCACATCAACAGTGTGACGAGTTTAACTTTGTTCAAACAGCCGTATCAGTTCAAAGCACCATATTCCTGGCTGTAATATCAAGCAGGTCGCATAATGTGTGTAATCTGAGTAATTTTCGTCTACGAAAGGAAAGAAACTTTAGTGAAATTTCACCTCAAATTGATTAAATCGTGAATGAGCATGGAAACAAATTGAAATCAAAACATTTCAACTTGAAATGTAAGTTAGGAGGTGTGAATATGGATTACGAGAGGCATAGAAACAAAAGACTACATAGGATTACAAGCGTGATCAGGAGGAGCATGGAAACAAACTTAAAATAACTGATTTTATAACTGGAAAAACAAAATAGGATGAATTGAATAAAGACAAAGAGAGAAAAACAACAGAAGACAATGGCCAGGCAACAGGTCGTTTACTAAGGAAATCAACACGTATTTAAATATTTTCATGTACATTATTATAGATTATTGTTAGCAGAAAAACAACACAGTCTTCTGATTGGTTGTTTCTCACTAAAAGTTAATCTTTCATCTCCTCTTTGTGGCTGTTTTTTGAATGTCAGATCATCTATCTGCTAATTGTATCCGCCTACGCAAGGTCTGCTGTGATCGGTTGTTGAATCAGTCAGTTTTTGTTCTTATTTTTCTCACAACCAATATTGAGGACGTAAACATTGATGTAAATTACTGTCTAACAATTTGGTTAGCAGTCAGCTGTCACCACAATACCAATGGGAATCGAGTGAAAGATGGCAAGTTTGGTGTTGCTCCAAGGATGATATGGAAGAGATTGTGTGAGGAGGAGCTGAACGTGTACGGACAATCGTGGACCCAGCTAAAGAGGACCTAAGAGAATAAATGGAGATGGAGAAATGTTGTTGAAACCCTATCTTCCACTTAGAACCTCAGGGAATATTAATAATGACAAACCCCAAAATTCAGTTCACTAAAACAAAGAGGGGAACAGATAAAAATGTAGTGGGTGATTTTTTCAAAAAAGAAGAAAGGAGAAATCTGGAAGGAAAGTTAGGACATACATTATTGAATTCATTACTCTCAGGTGTTGAAACATTTTCTTCCTTCACGTTCCCCAGTGGAACATAGGGCTTCAAGTTAGTGGCCGTTGCTCTTGGAACTTGATTTTTTCTGCTCTCTCGAGAACATCTCCCACTATGAATAAGAAAAGCTGTAGAGAAAACCATTAACAGTTCGATATTAGACCATCTGGTGCAAACCGGCCGGCCACAAAGCCAGCCAGCGTGGAAGAATCCTTCTCTATAATTTACCGGGTGCCTAATAAATTGGCAAAATCATCGAAGCACTGCATGCTCCAAACAGCACAGGCTATTGCGATTCGCCCCAAATAACCAGTGGTCTGTGTTCAAAAGGGGCAAGTCCAACCCTACTACTGCCCTAGTCGGCCTTCAGTAGAGACTAGAAATTCATGAATTTGTAATATTATCTTTCTTAATTTGTCTGTCTGACATTCAGCTTATTTTATGTTGATGCTACTGAGCTGTAATCTATCAATATTATTGATTCAATGCTATTTATTATTATTATTACTCCCATGGATTCCTAGTGGATTATAGGGCTTCAACTGCACGTCTCCATTTGCTTCTGTCTTCTGCTGTACTTTTCGCCTGCATCCATGTTAGTCCATATTCTTTCAACTCCTCTTCACACGATCTCCTCCATGTCACCCTTGCACTGACGTCCCACACGCCGCTTCCCTTTCGGGTTCCACTCGAGGGCCTGGCGCGCGATGTCACCCAGCGGTCTCCTCAGCGAGTGTCCGATCCATCTCCACTTTCTCCTGCATATTTGTTGGGCGATTGGTTCTTGCTTTGTTTGTTCCCATAATTCCTTGTTGGTGATTCTTTCTGGCCATCTGATCTTCAGTATTGAGCGAAGACAGTTGTTAATAAAGGTCTGCAACAGGCTGTTGGAAATATTCTTTGTGACCGCCCGCCAAGTTTCTGATCCGTATAGAAGAGCTGACTGACTTGACGGTTTTTGTTGAAAATCGACTGAATTTTGTTGTTGATGTTGAGTGACGAAGATTTCCAGATTGGTTTCAGGTTGATGAATGTGTTTCTCGCCTTCCCGATTCTCGCTCGATTTGACATCCTCGTCCGCTCCTCCTGTAGTTGAGACAATGCTCCCTAGATAAGTGAAGTGAATGAAGTAACCTCTTTCAAATCCCTCCCGTTGATGGTGATTGACGTTGGATGTTGCTGTGCTGCTGTTGTTGTTGGTTGGTTATTTTCATAACCTCCGTCTTGTCTATGTTCACCTGGAGTCCTGTCTTCACCGGCTGCTTCTTCGACCAGTTTGTCGGTTTTCGCTTGTAAGTCTTCGATTGTGTGTGACATCAAACATAAGTCATCCACGCGCGAAATCCAGGTCTTCTAGGTTCTTCACGTCGGTCCAGGATATCCCTGTCTTCTCGTTTCCCACTGTCTGACGCATAATCCAGTCCACCACAATTAGGAATATCATTGGTGATAATGCAAGCACCCTTGTCTGACTCCTGTGTTTACTCCAAACGCCTCGCTGAGTCTTCCGTTGTGGATCACTTGACATGTGCCGTTGTCGTACAGCTGTTGAATAAGGTTGATGAATATTTGGGGTACGCCATAGTACTCGAGTAATTTCCAAATTACTTCAAGGTCAACGCTGTCGAAGGCCTTCTCAAAGTCTATAAAGTTGAGGTAGAGGTTTGATCGCCATTCCATGCTTTGTTCTGTGATGATGATGCGTAGAGTTGCAATTTGGTCAGTACATGATTTGCCTTTCCTGAATCCAGCTTGTTCTGGTCGGAGTTCTGTCTCCAGTGCGTCCTTTAATCTCTCCAGGATGATGCGACTCAGGATTTTACTTGGCGTCGATAGGAGCATGATTCCTCGCCAGTTCTTGCAGAGTCCTAAGTCGCCCTTCTTTGGTAGTTTCACGAGGTAACCTTTCCTCCAGTCAGTAGGCACCTTTCCCTCCTTCCAGACCTTTTGCAATAATGGAGTCAGCATGTCTGCTGTAGTCTCTGGGTCCGCTTTCAGTGCTTCAGGGGGTATTCCATCTGGTCCGGCTGCTTTTCCAGCTTTCAGAAGCTTGATTGCGTTCAAGACTTCAGCTCTCGTTGGAGGATTGGTGTCAACTTGCAGTTGTGTGCGCGCTGTTGTTGGTATTTCTGGACGGGTTGCAGGTGATGGTCGGTTCAAGAGTCCTTTGAAGTGATCCGCCCATTGTTTAATCTGTTTTTCTTCCTTGGTAATTGGGTTCCCTTGGCTGTCTTTTATAGGTTTCGCTTGTGTTGATCTCTTCCCGGATAGAGATTTGGTTATCTGATATAGTGTCCTCAGGTCCCTTTTGCCTGCTGCCTTCTCAGCTTCAGTGGCGAGGTTGTCGTAGAATCGTCTTTTGTCCTTCCTAGCACTCTTCTTCACTTCTTTGTCCAGTGCTTTGTAAGTTGAGCTCAGCGTCTCCTTCTCCTGTCCGTCCTTGCATTGAATCATTTTCTCTTTCACCATTCTCCTCTCTTCTATTAATTTCCAAGTGTCCGTTGAGAGCCATTCCTTGTCTTGTCTCTTCTTTCTTCCTAGAACCGTTGAACACGTTTCGTTGAGAATCGCCTTCAGAGACTTCCAATGTTCTTCCACGCATGATTCTTCAGTGATGTCGCGTAGTGTTTCCTGCTTTGCTCTGACAGTTGCAGTGAAAGTGTCTTTTGTGGTTGTGTCCTTCAGTTTTTGAGTGTTGAACTTGCATTGTGGCCTATCCCCAGCTATCCTCGAGGCTTTTAGTTTCACCTTGAAAGTCCCTTGTACTAGATAGTGGTCTGAACCCACATCTGCTCCTCTCCTTGACCTTGTGTCCAGTAGGCTCCGTCTCCACTTTCTTGAAATTGAGATGAAGTCTATTTGGTTTTTGGTGTTTCCATCTGGTGAAATCCATGTCGTCTTGTGTATATCCTTGTGTTTGAACACACTACCGCCAATCACCAAATCATTGAAGGCGCAGAAGTCTGAGAAGAGTTCACCATTGTCGTTCATTTCGCCGAGGGCCTCACGACCCATGGTGAGTTCTCTTCCTGTGTTGTCTCCTCCCAGCTTCGCATTCATGTCGCCCATCAGGATTTTGATATCGCCATTTGGGACGTTGTCCATTATTGCTTGTAGTTGTCTGTAGAACGCCTCCTTCTTCTCTTGTTCTGAGACGTTTGTAGGCGCATAGCATTGAATGACTGTAACTTTCCTTCCTTTTGAGTTGAACCTGGCTGTCATTATCCTGGAGGAGATTGGTTCCCACTGCATGAGAGCTTTGGTTGCTGTTGGTGACATCATGATGGCCACTCCCTCGGTGTGCTCATGGTTGTCCTCTGGGTGGCCGGAAAAGATTACTGTCTCTCCAGTAGGTAGTTGGCACCTTCCAGTTCCGTTCCATCTGCTCTCGCAGATTCCCAACACTTCTATTCTGTACCTTCTCATTTCAGCGGCTATCTGGGCAGCCTTTCCAGTTTCGTACATTGTGCGAACATTCCAGGTACCCATCCTTACTTTTGCTTTCATCGAAAGAAGGCACATCGGCTGACTGGCTTCCCGAAGGCTTTCACCAGCCTGCGTCATTTCACTTCCCCGATTCCAGCGAAAAGTAAGGCTATTGCTTATGTTTTTAGAATTTTTAATATATTTATTCGTTGAAGTTTCTGTAGCGATTTGGTTGTTTTACAGGGGTGGAGTTGCTAGCACCACGCCCCAACCCTCCCTCTTTACCCGGGCTTGGGACCGGCGAGAAAACTAGTAAGCTAGTAGCCTAACAAGCTAGTATCTGGCGAGGTTAAACATTAATGTTGTTCATAACACTAAATCATTCATTCATTCACTATAATGTATATATAACTGTATTTATTGAAAAGAGTATTCTTTGTTCAGTACCCATTCTTTTAAGAATAATATAAGCTAATTAATTTTGGTAATTTCAATGATGCATACCTGAATAGAATGTAGACTGATGTCTATTGTTTACAGTTTGAGAAAACAAATTTGCATATGATTTTGAAATTAACAAAGTTGACTTACTGTAAAATTTTACCTGACTTACCCCTGGGTACTTCTAATTAAAACAAGAAAATGAATGACAAGCCGTCACAAGTAATCAAGATTGTCTAACTATACGATCACTAGTCAGACCTTTTTGAAGACAGCGGGAGACGGAGAGAGAGAGTACTCTAGTTTTTTTTTATTTTTGATTACAGCTTGATTCCACACAGTATTTTTGGTACAAGTATGGAATTTTCAGCATGTGATATCGGTAGCCCAAATTTTGCAGGCCGACCGTTGATACCAGGTGTGCGTCGGCAGGGGATCGAACTCCTGACCATGAGCATGGTCGGCGAGAGTCCTAACCACTGTGCCACCGACGCAAACACTCGAATTCAACAGCCTAAACTACTTCATCTCTAGCCAGTTAGCTATTCAGAAGGATTACATTAGTCTCTATCAAGGTACACAGTTCAACTTGACGCCGACAGAATTAAATGAAACGATATAGAGAGTGAGGGAGAGAGATCTGATCAGAGTGTTTTGTTTTAGAAGCTTCTTGTCCCTTCTTTCATATAATTATCCTCATTTTAAGTTGTACATTACCACTAGCAACCTAGTAAAAACCGTTTGGGTGTTATTTTCTGGATGAAATCCGGGATATAGATATGATAGACACTATTCAAGAGAGCAAGGACTCATTGTAACACTCTCACTTTAAGGAAAATTGAAGAAAAGTATCTTATGGACGTCTTCCAAAAGAATGGATATCCACAGAATTTCATCAAAAGACATATACCCCCAAGCCGTCAACCTATCAAAGCAAAAGCCCCCAAGAAAAGTACAAAGAAAATCGCCTAAACATATATAAAGGATATCTCAGAAATCATTACAAGACTCTTCAAACCTTTAGGAATTGACGTCTCACACAAACCAACAAAGTCGCTTCACTCAATTCTATGTCAACCAAAAGACTCAACAAGGAAAGAAGATAAAACCAACATCATCTACAAAATAAATTGTAACAACTGTGAGAAACACTACATTGGCCAAAGTGGACGTCCTCTTCATCTTCGTATACACCAACACTGACTAGCCGTCAAAAGACATGACATTCACTCCCTCATATCAAGCACTGCATACAGACAACTACGGACATCAATTCGACTGGGACAACCAACGTTCAAATATTAGACAGAGGAAAAAACAAGAATGCTAGAGAATGTTTAGAAGCTTGGCATTCCAAGGAATCATCAATCAATAGACACATAGATATAGAAAAAATCTACCAACCGATAAGAAAGAAACTACACACACAAGGGGTCAAAGTTCAAGTCAAAGAAACAATTAGCTCTAATACAAGCAACCTAGAAGGTGTGAAAACACACAAAAACAACCAAAGAGTCACGTTCAAGATGGTCACCAGGGGAGATGAATAATAAACTCGTGGAGAAATCTAAAAGCTCACTCAATTCAAATTGAAGTATGCGCTGAAGATGTCGCCTAGTAAGTAGGGCGATGAAAGCTTCTCAAATAAGCTATCCAGTCAGCTGAGAGAACACAACCACATCAAAATCCAGGATATGCACTTTGTCCCATTTGAGACTCCTCATCCGGCTCGATGTACCTGCAATCCCCAGTGAGTGATGATGGTTAGTTACGCCATTGAGACTCGAACCCAGTACTCTTCGTTTGAAGCAGTATCACTGTCTTAAATGATACATAAGACGATAATACCTACAGAATTACTGAAAACCAAGGGACATTGAATTCTGCTTTCATACTAGTGTAGACTTAAGACTCTTGGATACCTTTGCTAAGGCATATTACACTCTAGACAGTGGTTCAAAATCTCATGATCAATGCTTTCTAGCTTCACCAAATTATCTGCTTAGTGGATAGTGAAACTGTTTGAAATAACCTTGGAGTTAACAGACAATTACTTAATTAGTGGCAGGTGGGGTGAGTGGCTGTGAAATGAAAATTTTGGTCACGTTGTGGAGAGTGCTACTGATACAAGTTATCAGTAGTATATACAGAGATATTCATCGGCATAAAAATCATCAAATAGCAGGGTGATATATTTGATTTCAGAGAAGGCAAATAACATAGCACTATGGACATACAATGGAGATGTGAAAGGGTTACAAAGAAACACAATATAAAAGCCAAAAGTACCACAACACGGAAGATCTGTGCAAATGGCGAGTTGAGGATAAGGTGTACATAATTAGCCTATATAGGTATACACACTGAGGAGTCACTGTGCCAACAGCAGTATGTTACCCAACGTCACCTCCCTGGTGTCATATTTGCTGCCAGCTTACTCCATGGGCAAATTTAGATAAGGCATTTAGAGGACGAATTTCGCGAGATGACATCGTGATTTCGTAGTTTTTTTTTAGCAACCGCTTTACATCTGACGTGGTTAACAATAATAATAATAAAATAAAATGCATGACAATTACTCAGTTATATAAAACAAAACAAAAGTACATACTAATGATCAGTCATATTTAATTAAATAGGTCAAGTAGTCCATCATGGTAGGCGATGGTTGAAGTCTATTGTTTTTTGTACACATAGTTTAGGATGTATGTGGTTAATCCAAGGGTGACCAGCTTATGCAGCTGACAGTTAGCTGAAAGACAGCCATCAAACGCATATTCTATGTCGCATCTCTTTTACCCTCACTTGCTGAACATTTTCGATCCCTGTACCTACGATTAAAGGACGAAATTCTGTGGACTCTACTTCAAACTGTGTCTACAAGTTCACCTGTAGTTGTTACGGTGACACACACACTATATAGGTAGAACCAAGAGAATGTTCCATTGTGATCGTAGAAAAGAACATGTTCCAAAATACTTATTAAAACATGTTGAAAATCCCAATGCAAATAATCTAGATAGAAATCCAGCATCAGCTATTGCAAAGCACTTATTAATTAATTAATGTCCGGTCACAAAATCAATATTAATGACTGTTTCACAGTTATTTAATCACATAACTCTAATTCAAGGTTATTAAAGGTGATGTAAGCATTTTGGGGAGTTAATTACATACATCCTAAACTATGTGTACAAAAAACAATAGACTTCAGCCATCGCCTACCATGATGGACTACTTGACTTATTTAATTAAATATGACTGATCATTAGTATGTACTTTTGCTTTGTTTTATATAACTGAGTAATTGTCATGCATTTTATTTTATTATTATTATTGTTAACCATGTCAGATGTAAAGCGGTTGTAAAGATACAAATACAACTGTTTCATCCTAGTTTGGGAATCATCGAAAGTACGCAACCACCGGAGTTCAAACCCAGGAACTTCCGGTTACAAGGCAAGCTGACTCGCATACCATTCAGTCAATGGGACCCGACTGCTCAATAGCCAATCCATGAATTCTAACTTCTACCAATTCGTGATTTAGCGCAACTGGCACCAACCAATGTCGTCGGTGGGGGACATCTATCCTCACACATGACATCTGGATGGACCTCACTGGTCATGACTTCTCATTAGAACTGGCTCCAGGAAACTCCATCATGTAGCAAGTCACTAGGGAGCATCAAATCAGTTTTCTATAGTTTGGTTTGTAAGGGTTAGTTTTGTTTATTTACGAGTTTGACTAGGGACTGATATCAGTTAGAGAACCATTGAAAACCAGCACTGGAGTACTGCCAGATTGCTGTTTCGTCAACATAGTTTGGGAGTCATCACGAATTGGTAGAATTTAGAATTCATGGGCTGGTCATTGAGTCTGGTTGATCCCAATGGCTGAATGGTATACAAGCCAGCTTGCCTTATAAGCGGAAGGTCCTGGGTTCGAACCCTGGTGGTGGGTGTGTACTGCAGATGATTCCTAAAACTAGGCTGATGAAAAACTATTATTATTATATTTATTGGTGTGATTTTTCTTAATTAAATACAGGAGAAATCGGTGTTAAACTTCATGTAACCGATTGTCAACCAATCAACGATGGAGATTATTCATCAATGAATTATTTTCTAGCTCAAGTTCGCGAAAAATTTGAACATGAAATATTTTATCATGTAAATCTGTTGGAGTTAAAATGGTGTTTTGAAGAAGAACAGGATAATGGATTTGTTAGATTTATACTAGAAAGAATTGAACCTGGTTAGTTTAATTTATCGAATTTTGAATGTTTTGAGGGTTTTTTTTTTCTAAAATAAATAGTTAATTCTTTTAGGTAAAATGGTTCACTCATCTATAAGGATTCACTGAGTAATTTCGGTAAAGAGGATGGCACAATAAGAAGAACTGTATATATAGAAAACCTACATCAACTAACTGGTCAGTATACTCATTTTCTCAGCTTCGTGCCCTTTGAAATACAAACGCAATCTGATAAAGTGCATGGTCCGCCACAGAGCAAGAACAATCTGCTCGGATGAATGTCTTGATGAGGAACTTACTAATATTAAACGGTTGCTGAGTGAAAACGGTTATCCAGAAAAGTTTATTCATAAGAATCTGAATCTAAAATCAAAGCAGCCCAAGGTACCAACAGTTCCTAAAAAGGAAGGCCTTATTCTTACAAATCCAGTTCCTCGGTGACGATAACATCAGCGAGATACTAACACGGCGTCTTAGAAATGCGGTAAAGCGAAGAGCATTCCCTGCTGCTGAATTACGCTGTGTCTTCAAAACCACTCCTCTTTTGCACTTGAGAGTAAGAAATAAACTGCCTTATTTCGCCTCTTCCATGTGTGTCTACCAATTTAACTGCTCCTGTGAAGTGAGCCAGTTAGTTGCATAGGCCGTACAATTAGGCATGTTTCTCGTCGAATTTCCGAACATCATCCTGCATATTGGTTAAGTAAAGAACAAGCACAATCTATTCACATAGCGCTATTCTATCTCATCTTGTGGATACACAGAACACAAGATTGATGTTAACCATGCTTTCATTGTCATTTACCGCATACCAACCAACAAATCTTAACTTCGCCTTAAGAGTTCGACTACTAAATACTACTGAGGCTGGCTGTTGGGATTCACATTAAGAAACCTAATTTGTGTGTCCAAAAGGAGCTAGTTCAGACACTGTCCTTACCTTGACCATCTAGGTTTGAATGATCCTCAATTTTTGTGGAAATTTCCTAATTTTGGTTGAAATTCTATATGCTACTATATCTTTATTATTTAAGCATCTTTAATGAACTGTAATTCCATTGTGATATTACTTGACAAATCGATATTAATTAAAAAGCACGCCAATATTATTATTGACTACTATTCTAGAATATTCTATGTATATAAACATGCATGTATGTATAATTGTAGAGTCAGAAGAGGGCATTATCTATCGAAAAGGATATTCTTCTTTGCTCAGTTATTTTATGTTTTATAGATGTCCGAATGAACGTTTTCGCTATATTAATTTCAGCTTATAGATTGGTATTTGGTTTATTTCTGTTACGATTACAGTGGCCTAGTTAGATTTCCATCCATTATTGTTTTAATCATTCAATTACGCTTTTGAATCACTCGCTACATAACTCGCTCACATTTCAAATTAGCTTTCAATACAACGTTGGAGTGAGAATAAAAAGTTGTTGCAAAGTGTTTTTGCTCATAATATAGGAAATATCACTATAGATATCCCAGTTATATAAAAATAAGTCAATAAAAAATCGTTAATATGTATATACATACATACTTATTACAAAATAAGTAGTATATGTGTGACAAATGTGGTGGGTTGAATTCAATTACAAAATATTGTGAAATGTCGGCCAATGATAATGGTGAATAGTCATCATAGATTCGTAGAATGTGAGGTAGCAAAAAAACAAAATTGACAAGTAAGTCAGTTCAGTTCAAATAATTCTGTTGAAGAAGCTGTGGCTTACATAGTGAAATGTTAGGAAAAATCTTGTTTTGATTTTATTTTTCTTAAACACTATGGCATTATTTTAAATAATTTATAATGAATCAGTCTGACTCGATACTCAAATTATTCCAGGAGATGCGTAACATCTACGATCTGGAAACTTATAGGTCAATTCAAGGTTTGTAAAACGTGTCAGGTGAGTGCATGGCTAGTACAAAGAACTGTTCAGGTAGGTAGTGGAAAGTCTTGACTAGTAGAGTACAGCAGGTGGTCGGGTGTGAGGACAAATATTCGCCGCCGCTGACATTGGCTAGCGGTTGCGCTATATTGTGAATTGGGAGAACTTAGAATTCATGGGCTGGCCATAGAGTCAATTCCCAATGGCTTAATGGTCTACGAACTCGGTTGTCTTGTAACCAGAAGGTCCTAGATTAGAACCGTGGAGGTGACTGCATAATGCTGAAGTGTCCCAAACTAGTACGAAACAGCTGTCCAGTGCTATCTAGTGGTTTTCCAGTAGTTCTCTAACTAATGTCAGCACATGATGAAATCCTGTAACCAATCAACCAAATCCCTACAAACCAATACCTGAAAGTAGTATGTGTTAAATGGGAGGAGATGGTACGATTGCAATGAGATGGGTTCATAATGAAATAACGAATGTGTGAAATGAAATAGGTGGAGGGAGGCATTAATGGAGATAAGAGATAATATCACTAATAATAAGTCCGGATAGTATAAATGGAAAATTCGTTTGTATTGAGAGAATGTTTGCATTAAGGGCATAAATTATGACGAATAATAATAATAATTGCAGTAATAAGCAAAGGAGAAAAAAACCAAGAGGGTTAAGGGGAAGGAGCACTCTTGGTGAGAAGAAGAATCATCAGTCCAAGTTTGGCCATAGTAGGAGCAGCATCCGGGCGTGTTCATTTTGGATACAAAGTTCCGGTTTAGTCGATCTTATTGCAACAGCTTCAGCAATGTGTAAGAGACGTAAGTGAACTGTACTTGACAACGAACTCGGAATTCGGTATGTAACCCTGACGGGTGTGCTGGCATCAATGCTATGTCCAGTATTCACCATGCATGCTTTGTTTACAATTATTACTATTATTATTATTATTATTCGTTATAGGGTATACCCGTCATGCAAACATCCTCCCAATACTGTCACATTCTCCATTTATACTACACGGATTTGGTATTAGTAATCTTATCTCTCTGCACAATATATGCCTCCACCTGTTTCATTTCACATAGTGCTTATTTCACGATGAATCCCTCATTACAGTCTTACTGTCTCCTTCACTTTAACACATACTACTATGTGGAATCTAGGATAACGCGCATTTCATCCTATTTGTGACTCATCATCTGGATGTACCTGCATTTCTCAGTGAGAGATGATGTTCCCACCGAGGCTCGAACGCAGTATCCATAGTTTCAAACGCCAAGGCCTTACTAACTAGACCACTTGGGCCAGGAGAGCCACTGTCTCTTGTGCAACGGGTCATATTAATTATTGAATTGAATTTTTGATTATCCCGTCGATTGATTGGACAGAAGTGGTTGGTCTCAGGTTGACATGTCGGCTTCTTCTGCAGATGCTTCAACAATGTCTGGGTATTTATTTAGTATTTAATTGATGGATGGTAACTAGCAGTGGAATTCAGGATGCGCATACTATGGACACTGGGTTCGAGCCTCGGTGGGAACATCATCACTCTCACTGAGAAATGCGGGTACATCCAGTTAGCTGACGAGTCCCAAATGGGACGAAATGCGCGTTATCCTGGACTGGATTCCACTGCTAGTCACCATCCACCAATTTAAATTTTAATTACATGCCCAGACCTCGTCGAAGCATCTGCACAAGTAGCGGACAGACTTGTCAACCTGAGACCGAGCACTTCGGTCCAATCCATCGACGGGGAAAATCTCAAATTCAATTAAATCTTTAAAACAGCCAAAAAGTAACTTCTGATATGATCAGAGTGTCCCTCTACGCATGTAATACAAAATTACCACACTAGACCAACTAGACTAACTGACCGCCATTGTTCTATCCATTTAGATAGGTTGAACGAAAAAGAGGTAATATATTAAATGGTTGGAGGCAATCGGTAGAAAGTCTTGTCTGACCTAGGTTTCGTGCTAGTTGGCACTACCCAGTCAGTAAGGCGTATCTACAGCCTTGAAGGGACTCATATCCCTTCTGAGATTCGAACTCGCGTTATCCAGTGTTGCCCTGCAGTCAGAGACGTTACCGCAATAGTCCTACAGGAGGTTAATCGTGAGTCCGAAAAGCTTAGTGGTAAGGTCTCTGACTGCAGCACTGGGTGACATGGGTTCGACTCTCAAAAGAGACATGAGTTTCTTCAATGTTGCAGATAATCCTTGATGACTGATGGGGAGCCAACAAGCACGAAAGCCAGGTCAGGCAAGGCTTCCTATAGCCGATTGCCTCCAACCATCTAATATCATCAAATCAATGTGCACCGTAATGGCGAGCCACCTAGAATGCTGGCCACATTGCAAAGCTGGCTGATAGAATTCAGTCTGCAACAAAGAAAGGACTAGACACGCCACACTAGTTACTAGTGTCAAGTGGAAGAGGAAGTAAACTTGTTTTGGTGATAAATTTGCATACTCACTGGTAATGCTATACTCTTCTCAAAGGAAATGAAGAAAACATGTCGTAGTGCCTTGGATTTAGCTTCAAATAAAAAAATGTAACGTCATATAACACACTGTCGAGTGCTACTCTACTTAGTGATTCCGTCCAAAGAGTGAATATCTTGTAATTTAAATACTCTGAGTATTCTGTACTACGTGTTAACATGTAGTGAGAGCTGTCTGCTAGCAAAAATTGGTAGACACCACTTTGCGTCAGTGTTTACGTCCCGAATCGGTGTAAAGTAATCGCTACGGTTCTCCACCAGAGTTTCCTCTGGCTTCAACCTTTGCAAGCATAGTTCATCCTCTTTCGGGTCTCAACATGTACGCTCTTCCTGCCCCCCCACCCCTCGACGATGCATATAGCACAAGGCCACATGTCTACTTCATGGGACGAGCCGGTGATGCGCCTGTTGCTCGCAGCTGGGATTTAATGAGCAAGATGTCACCTTAACCTGCGCCTCTGGGGTCTCGTAAAGCCCAATGACTCGCGCACATGTTAAACTCCTTGGTCCGTAGCTTGACTTCAACTTTTGTTAGAGGACTGGTATCCACTGGCAGTTCTCTATATGCTTCTGGTAGTATTTCTGGACGAGTTGCAGCTGATACCTGATTGAAGAGTTCTTTGAAGTGAGTTTATTCACCTTGGTAATTAGATTTCCTTGACCATCTTTTATTGGAGCCATCATCTGGGTTGATCTCTTCACGAATACAGACCTAGTTGTTGGATATAATGATCTGAGATGGCTTCTTTCTCTGGCCTGTTCTATTTCAGTTTCCAGCTAGTGTGTTGTGCAGTTAAATCGATAAGACTGCAAGGGATGTCGATAAGCTTATATGTATGTATATGGGAAAATCAAAAGAACATTCTAGAATTAGGGATAAAAAAAAGGAGGTCTGCAAATGAAAAACAAAACGCATATGCGTTGCAGTCAGTCTGTCAGACACCAATCAGTTGAACTGATGAAAATTAGGTCAGTTGTAATCAGACACATTAAGAAGGTAAATAAATACAGGTAGAAGAAGAAGGAGAAAAGACGCCTAATGGAAAGTATGAAATTAGAATACTGCGAAGCTAAAAATATAAAATAAACTGGAATTTCCTTTTACTTTTGTTTAAATAATCATTATCACACCGGGTGGGATAGATCAATAAAATTATCCCTTCCTGACTATGCACACACACACATACACACACACACAGAGGTTTGTTTTAATCAAAATACAGACAATTTTGTACATTTTATATGGCAAATGAATTCATCAGAAAGTGGGAATTCGTGACCAGTAGGGTGCAGCAGGTCGGCTGTGAGGACAAATACTCGCCGAAGACATTGTCTAGCGCTTGCTCTACGTTGTGATTTGGCAGTAGTTAGAATTCATGAGCTGGCCATTGGATCGGGTTCCAGTGGCTTAATGATCTACGAGCTCGCCAGGCTTGTAACTAGAAGGTCTTGGGTTCGAATCCCGGCGGGTGCGCACTGCTGAAGAGTCCCAAACTAGGACGAAACAGCTGTCCAGTAATCCTAGGTTTTCCAATGGTTCTCTAACCAACGTCAGTTCATGATGAAATCCTGAAATCATCAGAAAGTTATTTTCATGACCACTATCCAGTAGATGTCACACGTGTGTTTAAGACTTGTGAAGCGCTCTAGTCAGAAGTTCCCTGGAATAGACTAATTGTCTTCTGTCTTTGTGTAATGTATGTGCTGCTAGGTGCACGTTTAGACAAGTTTGAGAAGTTGAAGATAAGAGGAATGTGGCAGACTGTTTAACTAGGCAACCTATTTATCAAAGACCCACTAATTCAATGAAAACAAAACATGTAGATCAGCAAAGAGTCTCTTTTCGGCGGTGAATTCATTTTCTTAGCTTTACAATTCCAAACATATATATGTATATGTTATTTTGTATGCATGTGTACATTAAGTTTGTTAAACAAAATTACAATTGGTTATGGTTATTTTAACTAAGCAGGTGAAGATAGGTTGTTGGAGTTACGTAAGAAAATTAGGTGTTAATGAAATTAGGGTAGTAACAAAGGTAATGAGTTGTCAAAAATGGTTGTTAAAAGAAATTATGTCATAATATAAATAGTTTGATGAGTGAGTTTTACTCAGGATGCACATAGGAACAAAGTACGGAATACGAAATTATGTAAGAGTTCTAAATGAATACAAGAATTATAAGCAATTAAAGAACAGAAAAAGATACAAAATGAAGTCAAAATCAACAAAGTTGTTACCATGACAGTAGAAGTGGTTACGTAATCTTCTTTTGTATGCACAGCTCCGGTTTTTCTATGTGAATGGCCAGAGCTTCAGCGGTACAAAGGAGACGAAACCGTATTGCCTTTGATAGGTTATTCCTTCAAATTAATCTACAGAGTCAAGGCGCATCATGAAGACCACTTTGAACAAACTACACATCTTCATAAACAGCTGCCTTCTCTCAATATTCAAGATCGGATGGCCAGTCATAAAATGTCAGCAACATATAGGGATCTCTTGCAATGAACGAACTAACCCATCAGGAACCGATTGTGCAACAAATATTCAGGAAGAAATGGAGGTGGATTGGTCACACTCTGAGAAAACAAAGCACCAAGTGACATCACACGACAGGCCATTGCTCAAGTGGAACCCGAACGGGAAGTGGAGAGTCGGTCATCAGTGTGAAGAGGAAACAGAGGCTTGAAGGCATTTCTTTTGCAGGTTGAGAACAATGGCGAAGAACAGAAGGGGATGGAGATTCACCATTCGTAACTTAATGGAACGACGAATAATAACATACAATAGTGTCAGTTGATTAAGTTTGGTATTGATTTATTTACTAACAGGGTGAATGCCAGTTGAAAACCTGAATATACAAGTGACTAACAAAATGATGAAATATGACATCTTCTCAAGTTTCATGAAGTTTCCATATACGCTTTGATAAGTGAATGTTAAAAGAATGATGACAACCTGTCTCAACCTCTGAGGCATCCTTTGTTCCTTCTGATTTGTAGAGAAAGGTGGCTGCAAGGCAGAATTGTAAACAGCAATTCACTTCAATGTTCACGTTCCGAATCGGGGTCATGAGAAAAGACAATAAAAAAGCCTAACATTGAGGAACTTACCAACCAATCACAGTAGACTTAACGTGTGCAAATACGATTTGCAGATGTATGGCCTAACTTTCTAAGAAACGGTCACGAAGAGATGACAGAATAACCTTGAGCAAGAAAACAACCAATCAGAAGACGGTGCTTCTCCTTTGACAATAATGTACAAAAAAATTTATAAATATCTCTCGAGTTCCTCAATAAAGGATGTGTTACCTGGCCCTTGCCTTCTGTCGTTACAGACTGACATTAAATGACTTCAAAATTATGTGCTTTCTTTCTTTCTTTTTTTAAGAATGTAGTTGCGCAATCTTTAATCACAACCCATATTTTCACCTGTTTTTTACCCTTCTACTCAAGATTTAGTCATCATACTTTATCCTGAAAGCTTTGAACAATTGGAAGATAGAAAATTAATTAAGCAACATTTTGAATACATACTACAAAAGTATTTCAATACACCAGAGACGCGTTCAGTAATTGGCGTCACCGAGTTTAAAATTCAAGTTTATGTCAATGAAGAAGATGTAGACAATGCCATAATGGAATGGAGAAGTAATACTGTGCCAGTTATGTATCGTCTGGAAGATTCAGGTAAGTATTATTTTTTTAATAACCACTGGACGACTGTTTCGTCCCACTTCGTGACCCTTCATCAATACGCATTTGTGACCTCACTATCAGGGATTGAACCCTGGACCTACTGGTTACAAGCTACAATTACTCATGAATTCTAGCTTCTGACACTTCGTCATATCTAGTACGACAGTCAGCTAATGTCCTCAGAAAGTATTTGTCCTCATACCCAACTTCGTGGACTCAGTTTATCACAACTTCCCATTAGAGATTCAAGCAACTACATCCTGTAATGAGTCACTTATGAGCACGAGATTAGTCAGTTGGTTTACACGGTTTTTGACTGATTTAAATTTCAGTTAAGGAGCGGCTTCAGTGATTAAAAGTTAGAACCTATGGAACATTGAATCCTATCCAAGTGGCTGAATGATGTATGATCCCTGGTGATTAAGTGATGGGTGCGTACTGATAAAGAGTGCAAAATAGAGGGAAAAGAGGGCTGTCCGGTACTTCTTGATTTCTAAAGACTCTCTAAATGAAGTCAGTTTGTGATCTAAATAGAATTCTATTGAATCCTTGCAAAAACCAACACTTGGAAATTCATGAGTTGGTTCAAAGCAAAAAATAGATTGAGGGACAAATTGTGATTTGAATAACACTTTCAACTTCAGACTGCATTAGGGCTTCGGCTGCCACTGGTGACATCAGGATAGACACTCACTGCCTCAGTGTGCTCAAAGTTGTCGTCTGGGTCATCAGACCAGAGGAGATTACTGACTTTCAAGTTGAAAATTTCGACAATCCACATCCATTCCATTTGCTCTTGCAGACACTCAGCAGTTCTAGCCCATATCTTCTCATTTTTTTTGGCTACTTGGACAGCCTTCCCAGTCTTATACATTGTATGGAAATTCCTCGTCCCCATTCTTATTCTTGCTTGCATTGAGAAAAGATACATAGGCTGGCTGGCTGGCTGGCTGGTTGACTGGATTCCCGAAGTCTGGCTTTCACCAGCCCACTGTGTCATTTCGCCTCTCTGACCCTACCGAAGAATAGATTTTCTTTAATGTTTTTGTATTTTTATTATTTTTATTGTGTGCGGAGGTTTCTCTAGCAGTTTGATAGCGTTTGTGGGGCAGGGTCGCTAGCCTAATGTCCAACTCTCCTTCTGTATCAGGGCTTGGGACCGGCTAGAATACTAGTGAGCTAGTAAACTAGGCGGGGTTATATTTATATGAACCAAGAATACCCATAAGCTTTAATCCCTTTCTCACACGAACTCTCCCATCTCATTCTCCGACGTCCAACTCTTCGTTTCCCATTCCGATTGCATTTGAGCAATCACTTGAGCCTGGCACCTCATGTCAATCAACGGTTTCCTGAGACACCGTCACTTTCTTCGCTATATTTGTTGGGCAATAAGTGTGTGATTGGATTTTCCCCAGAGTTTCTTGTCACCAACTCTTTCTCATCGACTATCAGGTCATCCATCAGAAGGAGCGAAGGCGACTGTTGATAGATGTCTGCAATGATCCTTTCGTGACATAAACGCCAAGTTTCTGACCCATGTAGAAGAAGTGGCTTAAAATTCTTATTGGAAATCCAAATTTTGTTCCAAACTGAATTCACACTGATGAAGAATGTGTGTTTGGCCTTTCCAATTCTGGTCTTCATTCCCCCTTGTAGTTGGAAAGATGTCTCCCACCAGATGAGTCAAGGTGTGGTGAGAGCAGGCCGTGAGAAAATATGAGCAAGGCTGATTCAACAACCAATCACAGCAAAGTTAACGTGGCAAAATATGATTCGCAGATAGAGAACTCTATTTGTCGAGGAATCCCGAAACAACCAATCAGAAGCCTGCGTTTGTCTACTTGCATAAGCTATAATAATGTATGTGAAATATGTATAAATACGTGTTGATTTTCATAATAAAACGATCTGTTGCCTGGCCCTTGTCTTCTGTTGTTACAAAGGAAGGGACCTCTTTCAAATTACTCCTGTTGATCATGATTGATTTTTTGTTGTTGCTATTAGTGTTGTGAGTTGATTGATTATCTCCATCACCTCCGACTTCTCTATGTTTGTTCACGTGAAGTCTCCTGTCTTTGTTCCTTCCTCTATCAACTTCTTGGTTGGATATCCTAAGTGAAATTCCCCCCTCCCTCCCTAATAAACAATCTGTCTCACTTTCCTCCCTTGAGATGATCGGGAAAAAATCCGCTAGGATTACACCAAATGGTGATCTCATGATAACACCATCAGATTGTCTTATACACATGTTTATTGAACACAGAAAATTCACGTTCATCGTGTAACTTACACGAAGAAGTTCATTTTAGGGTGTGTGTGTTTGTGTGTGGGGTGTGTGTGTACATTGGAATATTTTCTCACAAAATGATATGAAAGTGATTCAAACTACGAAGGTAGTCAGCCTTGAATTGAAATTCTTTCAACACACATTCAATAACTCAGACATGAGAAGAAATAAAGGGAAAGAAAAACTACGCATGTGCTCAAACAATGGGAAATTACAATAGCACCAGTAATTGTAGATCCAAATTATATCAGACATTGTAGTATATACTGGGATATAAGATGAAATAGTAGTCCGTTGGTTTTCTTCCTCCTTTAAATGCATATAAAATGTGCAGTTGTAGCGTATGCTACTAACAAAGTTTATCAGTAGTAAATGGAGAGGCATTCATTTGAGATAGATTTAGTATCAAAGACAGCAAATGAACCAATATTGTGGCAGTGGAACATGGTAGACACAAAAAGAATATAAAGAGACACAATATGGAGGGCAGAAGTAGGAAACACAACACAGAAGATCTGTGGAAATGATGACTTTCGAACAAGATGTATATAGAGTTATAAAATTCCTGCATTTATTCCCCTTGATGAATTTGAATAAAGCAAGAATAACAGTGTGGTTTCTATAGAATGATATGGTATACCATCATTGCTTATTTCTATGACTTCTCATCAGCTGCTTGCTTAAAGTTTAAATAAATTATTATGAGGTTCATGTACAGAAACAGTTTTAACATACTTGTAAATTTCACATGATATCAGTTGACAGAAAGTTCCGCAATTAGTGAACAGTACTCAGAAAATTTCGTTTATATGGTTTTTACACAGGCAGTTCAAGTTTGAACAAAATAAATGTATGCATACAATGGTAAAGGAGTTATGTAATTGAGATACCCTTCTCATGTTAACTCCAACCGTGTATACAAATTTACTTGTATCTGCGTGAGCAGTTACATTGGGAGAACAGAAAGAAGAGCACACACACACACCTCCAATTTTCTGAACATATCCGAAGAAGCCTACATCTCAAGAGAAAAAACTCTTATAATAGCGCTATGTCGTGAATTGGTAGAAGTTAGAATTCATGAGCCATTGGATCGGGTCTCAGTGGCTGAATAGCATGCGAGCTTGCTTTGTAACCGGAAGGTCCTGGGTTCGAATCCCAGTGAGTGAGTACTTCTGACGGTTCCCAAACTACGCTAGCGAAACAGCTAAACAGTACTCCCAATTGTTCTCCAACTGGTATCAATTCGTGATCAACTCGTAAAGTCAACTATTCGTCAATTTTCTTCAACGATCTGATCCTAGATATGCGTACCGCTGCACTATTGAGCAAATTTCTGCGTTGAATATTTTACTCCAGTCCATATATGACTAAGAGATGTCATTAGCAGCATACTAAGAACATCACTTCATTCTTCTCTGAGATTTTCATACGGGAGACATGCTGAATTTATTCATCTCATGTAAGAAATTTCAAAGGGGAGATTAATTTCTTCGAGGTTGCAGAAACGCCTTCCAAGGCTATCTGTCAATCGTCTACAACTATATTTCATATGACAAATACCTTAGCTGCATAGATCGCATTGTAAACTTAATTGATAGAAATAGATCAACACTAAGGACTGGAAAATACAAAACCCCTTTGAGAGTACACATTTAGACATGATTTATCTCAGTGTGATTTTATAACTAGTTTAGAGACGATGACATCTGATTGGTCAAATGAAATCAAATGATTGCACGATTACATAATGAGCTGACATCGGCCACAGAACCATTGTAAAACCACCTGGGAGTACTGGTTAGCTATTTCGTTGGCTTATTTTGGAACTGCCTCTTCAGCAATATGCACCTGCATCGTGGGGTTCGAATCCAGGACCTTTTGATTACAAAGCAACCGAGCTTGTAGACCATTAAGCCAATGGGACCCAACTCCTCAGTGGCCAGTCCATGAATTCTAACTTCTATCAGTTCACGACATAGCGCAACCGCTAGCCAATGTCTTCGGTGATTATTTGTCCACACACCCGATCTGTTGTACCCTACTGGTCCCAACTTCCCACTAGAACCTCAGGTAACTAACTACCTACCTGAATAGGGCCAGTCGCTTGTGGGCATCTCATCGATATTCATGTATTGGTTTGTAGAGATTTCATCATGAGCTCACGATGAAATCCTGAAACCAATCAATCAAATCCCTACAAACCTATACTCGAATCAGAGGAGTCCGTTGCTCAGTATCTTCCACTTCTTGGAAGCTGTGAACATGTCAACATTCATAAAGTGAATTTTAGATTTTCCCGTCGATTGAATGGACTGGACCGAAGCGCTCGGTCTCATGTTGACATGTCGACTTCTTGTGCAGATTCTTCGACGATGTCTCTGCATTTAATTATAATTTAATTGGTGGATGGTGACTAGCAGTGGAATCCAGTCCAGGATAAAGCGCATTTCGTCCCAATTGGGATTTGTTACTGGATTTACCTGCATTTCCCAGTGACTGATGATGTTTTCACTGAGGCTTGAACCCAGTTCCCATAGTTTCAAACGCCAAAGCGTTCTCCACTTCGTGGGAACATCATCATTCACTGAGAAATGCAGGTATATCCAATAGCTGACGAGTCCCAAATAGGACGAAGTGCGCTTTATCCTGGATTCCACTGTTAGTCAACATCCACCAATTAAATTCATAAGGTCAATTA